TCCAACTTTGTGGAGTGTGACTAAACCATGATTTTATATAGTCTGTGACCAAAGTTAGGGAAAAGAAGGGAATTGTTACCACTTTCTTATTAGCACTAATAAAAATGCTTTCTTTAAGAGTGTGGTATTATGACTGTTTTATTCAGTTTTCCCATAGATGATGGTTTATTGGAGAAAAGCAAAAGAATGTTACTAATATAAATCATAGGGCACGGTAATACCAAGAGACTACCTACGGGATTTCTATATTCTAGATGTATTCTTTCTAACCTCCATCATCGTTTCCAATTTCCCCTTGGTAGTTAGGATCAATTACCTCAGCCAACACAGTATCTTCCTTCTTTGCCATTGATTTAGAGGATATAAGCAGTCCAGAGTGGTCAGGTGGCAGTCTTAACTTCCAGTTCAATGGAATCATTGTTGTGTCTCCCGGTAGAAGTGTACCTCCATTTGTCCAATGACCTCCAGGCCAGCAGAACATAAGATCATGAAAATAGAAATTTTGCTATTGGGTTATTAGGTGTAATAGTGAGTGGTGACACTTTCACTTCTACCCCTTGATTGCTGTACATGTACATGTTGGCTACTGGAGAAACAGCGCTGAATATTGGATGCTGATTCTTAGTACGTGTAACCTTCTGGAGAATCTTGCTTTAGCCCTGCAAGATATTGCCACCTAACTGGCACTGTAACTGAGTCTTCAAAAAAGCCATTCCTCCATTCTGTCAAGCCAACTACTTTAGGACGCTGGGGAACATGGTAAGATCAGTGAATTCGAAGAGCATGGGCCCACTGCCACACTTCTCTTGCTGTGAGGTTAGTTCTTTGACCAGAAGCAATATTGTGTGCAATACCTTGATGGTGGATAAGGTATTTAGTAAGTGCATGGAAGCTAGTTTTTGGAGGAAATATTATATGCAGAGAAAGCAAGTCCATACCCACACTAAACATCTATTCTAGTAAGAACAAACTGTTGCCTCTTCCATGATGAAAGCAATCAACCCACCACCAGGTAACTGACTGGTAACCTCGAATGGTACCATATCTGGGACTCAGTGTTCATCTCTCCTACTGGCAGATTGGGCATTCAGCAGATTGGCCTTTGTGAGTGGAAGTTCATGTTGCTAAGCCCACACATAACTTTTGTTTCTGCCACTCTGGTCACGTTGTTTATGAGCCCACTGGGTGATGACAGGGCTGGCTGGGGAAAGAGGCTGGCTATTATCTACAGAAAAGGTCATCTTATCCACTTGTTTATTAAAATTCTCCTCTGTCAAAGTTATCCTTTGGTGAACATTCAGAGAGGTCTGTCCACATACCTCTTTCTCAGATTCCCTTGAACACAACATTCCAATCATGTTCCTTCCAAATCCCTGACCATCCAGCCAGACCATCAGCCACCGTCCATGGCTCGGTATGTAACTGTACCCCGATCCATCTCTCCTTCCAACCAGGTACAATGGTCAGAATTCTGCCCACTGGGACATACCACTGCCCTTTGAGTATGTCCCAGAAAGGGACATTAGCTAAAGTGTTGCTGCTGTTCACTTTTGGATGGTATCTGCTATTGTGCAGAACCATCTGTAAACTAGGCCCATGTCTTCTCTTCCTCTGTCAACTGATCATAGGGAACTTCCCATGAGGCCATAGGTGCGCGAAGGAAGAGACCAGGCATTGTAGCAGGAGTGGGGACCATGGAATTTGGACTACTTCTTCATGTAACTTACTGGTGCCATCAGGATCTGTTTGGACCTGATCATCTTGTCTATACCGCTTCCATTCGATGATTGTGCATGCCTAATTTTATGGCTTGGTGAGTCAGATAACACTTAGTTCATGGTGGGAAGCTCAGATCACATGGAAACTTGATGGTCCATGGTTAGTCTCTATGAAGGCCCAGTAGGAAGCCAAGAACTGTTTCTGTAGTTACAGAGGATGGCAGGAATTTGCTCCAAAATCCTAAGGACTTGCACTGTGATTCACTTAAAGAGGCCTGCTAAAAGCTCCAAACAGCATCCCTATCTCCCCTGATGCCTTCATATGAGAGACAATATAATCCATTTTATTAATATTTCCAGAGGTAAGCAAAGGTTTAAGACTCACGTAACTATAGTTGAAAGCTTTTGTCAGCTGCAAACAGACATACAGAGAGCTTGCTGCTTTGAATGTAGAACTTCAGCCTCAGCAGACAATGCATGTAGATCACAACCATTCACTAGTACAGATGTAAGAACACCATGATCCTCTCCAGAGAAAGTATATTCTTACACAGAAAAATAGGCAAAGAGTAGCAGACCAAATTCTGGGGCATTTCTCCTTAGACAGAGAATAGCTGTTCTCGACCAAATAGACCAAAAACCAAATTCCCAGTTGATGCCATTGTATTCATTTGCTATTGCTGTGTAACAGATTACCACAGATTTAGTGGCTTAAACAAAGAAACACACATTTCTTATCTCACAGTTTTAGGGGGCTCAGGAGTCTGAGCAAGGCTTAGTTGTGTTTTCTGCTTCAGGGTCTCATCAAGCTGCAGTCAAAGTCTGCATTAGACTACATTCTCCTCTGCAGCCTTGACTGGAGAAGAATCCACTTCCCAATTCACTCATATGTTTGGCAAATTTCATTTAGAATTAATTTCCTTTAGAATTTCCACGAGTGACGTCTTGTTTGCCTAATGTTATGGCTTGGTGAGTCAGATAACACTTAGTTCATGGTGGGAAGCTCAGATCACATGGAAACTTGATGGTCCATGGTTAGTCTCTATGAAGGCCCAGTAGGAAGCCAAGAACTGTTTCTGTAGTTACAGAGGATGGCAGGAATTTGCTCCAAAATCCTAAGGACTTTGCACTGTGATTCACTTAAAGAGGCCTGCTAAAAGCTCCAAACAGCATCCCTATCTGCCACTGATGCTTCATATGAGAGACAATATAATCCATTTTATTAATATTTCCAGAGGTAAGCAAAGGTTTAAGACTCACGTAACTATAGTTGAAAGCTTTTGTCAGCTGCAAACAGACATACAGAGAGCTTGCTGCTTTGAATGTAGAACTTCAGCCTCAGCAGACAATGCATGTAGATCACAACCATTCACTAGTACAGATGTAAGAACACCATGATCCTCTCCAGAGAAAGTATATTCTTACACAGAAAAATAGGCAAAGAGTAGCAGACCAAATTCTGGGGCATTTCTCCTTAGACAGAGAATAGCTGTTCTCGACCAAATAGACCAAAAACCAAATTCCCAGTTGATGCCATTGTATTCATTTGCTATTGCTGTGTAACAGATTACCACAGATTTAGTGGCTTAAACAAAGAAACACACATTTCTTATCTCACAGTTTTAGGGGGCTCAGGAGTCTGAGCAAGGCTTAGTTGTGTTTTCTGCTTCAGGGTCTCATCAAGCTGCAGTCAAAGTCTGCATTAGACTACATTCTCCTCTGCAGCCTTGACTGGAGAAGAATCCACTTCCCAATTCACTCATATGTTTGGCAAATTTCATTTAGAATTAATTTCCTTTAGAATTTCCACGAGTGACGTCTTGTTAAGATTTTGTTTGTCTGAAAATGTCAAAAATGCCTTCATTTCCGAGTTTTTTATTTATTGTATTTTCCTTTGAAATTAACATTAATGAAGTATAATTTACATGTAGTAAAATGCTCTCACTTTACTATATAATTTGATGAGACCGAACAGAGTATACACCCTTAAAACATTAACTATAATCAAAATATAGAGCAATCTAATCATCACAAAAGGTATTTTATGCTCTTGTGAAGTAAGATTCCAGGTAACCATAATATTATCAACTGCAGTTTACTGATAACTATACCAAGGCAGAGAATAATTTTAAGAATCCAAGATCTGAGATATATGAAGCAGAGAATCTGGGTTTTCCTTCCTGGTAGTCCAGCTCTAAGTTCCTCTTCTAAAATCCATTATAATATAAACCCTGAAACTGGTTAGAATCTAAGGTTAGAGGCAGATTTTAACATTTATTAACCTTAAAAATATTAAGTAGTCAGAAATGAATTAAACAGAGAAACATAAAAGTGAATACTCATATATAGAGGAGTCTAGACTCTACAATGAAAGCCACATGTTCTTTTGAAGTTTCCGAGGAATATTTATAAAATTTATGAATATTTTAATTAAATAATTAATATTTAAATGTTAAATAGACTCAAAAGACAAACTTTATCAAAGCCCTGACATAGAGATATGTTTGATAACTATTAATAATGGGCTGAAAAAGCTGAAAGAAAAAAAGGATTTAAACCTAGATATGACCTCTCTGAGATTCATTTTCTACTTTTGAAATTATGGGATAATAATTTTTTCCATCCATGAGATATATGCATGTATGTATGCATATGTTTATGTGTGCTTATGTGCTTATGAGTTAAAAATAATAAAATTATACCTAAATGTTAGTTTTCAGCAACCAGCCCTGAGTATTAGCTTTCTTAGAGTTCCCGAGAAACCTGTGATGTTTTAATAGGAAAAGCCTTGGATTCTTTCTGCATAAATCTGACAGTAAAAACAAAAATCTATAGCAACTTCATATAATAATTTAGCATCTGCTGTATATTCAATGTATTGAGTTTTTAAATTTTACTAATGACAAAGTTGACGAACACAAATTATGGAGAGTTTAAATAAAGAAAATTGCAAAACAATGAAATAGAATATGTCTTTATTTGCATGCTAGCAAATGAGAATTCAGCTTTCACGTCAACATTAGTTATGAAATATTCTAGCCTACAGTAGGACATAAAGTGTATGAATAAGACTTAATTTGAGCTGTTGGGGGAATAATAATGTTTTTTACAAAGACAGCATTGAGCTCTTCCATTAGCATACTCTGGCACTTTCCTGCTTGCCACTGTTCACAGAATTTAAAAGAAACAAGAATTTTATGCACATTCAAGATCAGCTGTACATACGGCTTAAGGTCAGAATATTAAAAGATATTAGACTTGGTCTTTTTTTTTTTTTTAGACATGATAAATTTACTACAGAGCATTCTTTCCATCTTTGTAATAGCAGAATTTGTTCTAGGAAATTTTGCCAATGGCTTCATAGCACTGGTGAACTGTATTGATTGGGTCAAGGGACAAAAGATCTTCTTAGTTGATGGAATTCTCGCTGCTCTGGCGGTCTCCAGAATGTGTTTGCTTTGGATATCAGTAATACACTGGTATGCAACTGTGTTTTCTCCAGCTTTATGTAGTTCAGAAGCAAGACTTATTATTAATGTGATCTGGATAGTAAGCAACCATTTTTGTGTCTGGCTTACAACTAGCCTCAGCATACTTTATTTACTCAAGATAGCCAATTTCTCCAACCTTATATTTCTTCACCTAAAGTGGAGAGTTAGAAGAGTGATTCTCACGATACTGTTGGGGACTTCGGTCTTCTTGGTTTTTCATCTTGTATTGGTAAGTATAAATAGAAAAATGTGGATGAATGAATGTGAAGGAAACATCACCTGGAATATCAAATCGAGGGACATCATGCCCCTTTCGTATATGACTGTATTCACGCTTGCAAACTTCGTACCCTTTGCTATGTCCCTGATGTCTTCGCTGCTGCTAATCTTTTCCCTGTGGAAACATCTCAAGAAGATGCGGCTTAGTGGCAAAGGATCCCAAGATCCCAGGACCGAGGTCCACATAAGAGCCATTCAAACTGTGATCTCCTTTCTCTTGCTATTTCTCATTCACTTCCTGATTCTGATCTTTGCAGTTTGGTATTTTAATAGTCTGCAGAATGACTCAGTCTTCTTCAGTGGTCAGGTCCTTGCAATTGTTTATCCTTCAGGCCACTCATTTATTCTGATTTGGGGAAACAAGAAGCTAAAGCAGGACTTTCTCTCAGTTTTACGGCAGGTGAAGTGCTGGCTGAACAAATGGAAAGCTCAACGCCATAGGTCAATAAGAGGTGCATCGTTTGTGTTCTAGCAGAAAATGAAGTGATGGAGCCTTTAACATTTTGAACTCCCTCGTGGTTTTTCCATAGTGTATGTAACCAGATAATTTTCAAATGTTTGCCAAGAAAAGTCTTTCCTAAGCTTATCACATAAAACTACATATACATGTGTATGTATGAAAAATAAAAGAGAAATTAGAAATAACATACCCTTAATCAATTTTTTTTCAGATAAACCATCTAATTATACAAAATACTGTGAGAAAATCCTCAGAATTGTGAAGCCATTTGTATTTCACATACATATTCTGTGTTGTTATGTTCCAGTTGAGGAATTTATGTTCTATATTTATGCATTTTGAAGACCTGACAACTTATCTCAGGAAATCATTTTTATTTTCCATTGTAAATCACACTACAGTGTGTTTAGATTACAGTGTCGGAAACTTCACTCTTTTGCATGGTAAGGATATTCAATTCTAGATCACACATTGAGGACGGATGTTTGAGAGAAATTTTATTCCATATGAATTCTTACTTTGTGGTTAATAGAGGACAATCAGAACTTTTGTTAAGAAAGATATACACAATCCAATTCAAGAGTGACAAACATATTTAGAGTAAATTCTGTATGTATGTACAATAAATAGTACTGGAGAATATTTGATTTGATACAAGTAGATGAAAAGCTTAGGAAAAATTAAATTCTACAATAGAGATAAAAATTAAAAAAAAAAAGATTATGGCCCTTTAAAATGCTGTTATACGATTTCATGCTGTTTGGAAATTTTTTTCTAGTTTTTGAATTCAGAAAGACTGTTTTTGAAATTGAGATCTAATATGTATTTCAGTTTTCTCCCACACCACCCCTGAGCATTAAATTGCAGAGCATCTCCTACATTATCCATCCTTAAAATTCCTTTTAAACTTCAGATAAGAATACTCGAATCTTCCCCATCTAAAAAATAAATATTCACTGTAGGAATAATAAAGAAATTATGGTATCTAATTTAATGAACATTTATGTATACATTAAACTGGCATCTATTAAGTCCGTATAATGATTATTGAGGATTTCTTAAAGATCTGTTTTATTATAATCTTTGGGAAAAATAAAATTGGAGAAATAATATTGGAGTATTAATTGATAGCAAGTTCTACCCTAAGAAATGTAAAATCTTGCTCAACAACTTAATTCTACACTACTATTAATTCTTGGGTTATACAATTTTAACATTTTCCTATCTCCCTCAGTACAATGTAAGCAACAGAAAAGTGAAGATCACCTCTGTCTTGTTTACTGCTCAATCCCAGGACCTATAAGCCAGCCTATAGAATAGTCGGCCAAAAATGATTTTTTAAGGAATAAGTAAATGGATGAATTAATGAATGAACTATAATAAGGCTGGGAAACAATTAAAATAAAACATTACAAAACTTGTAGATTGCATAAATTTCTTGATTCTGTTTCTACATTATGGAGACAGGTATAGAGGCTTGGCTATTTCATAATTCTAGGGGAAATATCACTAGCATGTAGCCTTGACACAGTCATATTATATGAGTGGAGTGGAAACAAGGTGGAACATCAAAATTAGATAGTGTGTATCACAATAGTTTTTTAAAAAGCACATAAAAGATTTTTGTAAATTTATACATATATTTTCGATATCATTTCTAATGATATTTTCTAGCTGAGTATTTTATATACAAAACGGTATTTACTGTTTAAAAATTGAGTTAGTAATTGCTTTATTAACTCAGCTGCCTCACTAAAATGTTATTTTAGATACGATATTTTTCTGTTTCCTTTCTAAGAAGACTTTTATTTTATTTTTTATTGAAATACATTTGACACTTCACATTATGTAAATTTAAATTTAAATATAAACTTTTTAATGGTTATATTATAAAGTCACATAAAGTGAACAAATAACAATTGTACAATTCAATGACTATCTTAGCCAGGACCTCTAAAACCAGAACCAAAGTCAGGGATTAAATTGACGACATTTATTTGGGAAGGCAGGTCCCAGGCAACAATAGAGAGGACATACAGAAATGAGGCAAGAGAAGATGTGGACTGATATGCTGTGATGTATTAGTCTCCCAGCTGCCACCTTACAACGTGTTGAGTGGTCAGCACTTGGCACACAGAACTTTTTCGGGAGGATTACAAGGAGAAACCACATGCAGGATTAGTCCATGGAGGAAGGAGAGGAGAAAGCATATACCTTCTTAGCTCTCTCTTGTCTTCTGCGTCTCATTGGTCAGGGTTTATCCAAAGCAGAACTAACATCTCTGTTCATTAAGCTCCTTCATGGCCATTTAGAAAGTCAGATCTCATGCCCCACAGTATGGTTTGCATTCAAGTTCAAAATGGAAAGATGATCTGGCTCCGGCAGGGTGCTGACCAAAAGAATAGGATGGGGAAAAAATTAAAGATGAAAAATGCACACACTAAATTTATTATCACAAATATAAGACCTAATTTACAAATGCTTTTTAGAAATTCCTCAGAATCATGAAGCTACTTTTTCCAATTACTCTTTCTATGTTATTAGTTTCAATGAATTCATAAATTATGTTTATCATTATTTGAAATATCTAATTTACATTTGGAAATAAATTATATTACCAATGTAGTTTTCCAATACATACCATAATTTATTTTAATTTTAATGCATAAGACTACCAAATCTTGGTTGATGACAGTCTTTTAATTGTACATAGCTGTCTGAGAGATTGGTGTTTTTGTTATATTTTATTTTAATGTGTACTTCTATTTTACTGGTAAGTTGCAAACAACCAGGTTGTTGTAAGAACAGAAATTTAGAATAATTCATGAGTGACCAACATATAATTTTCGTGAACTTTGAATATGTGTATATTATTAATATTGGTAGTATGACATAAACAAAAACTAATTAAATAAATAGGTAAAAATTTTAGAATAAATTAAGTTTGAGAGGTGGTGTAAAGGAGAGGGAATCATGGTTATGTGTCCTATGTTCAATGTTATTAAATTTTGAATATGATAAAATCCTGTATGTTTTTGGAAATAAAGAATTCTTTACTCATGGCTTACATGGGCAAAGAAATCTCTTTTGTGTTTAAAATAGATGTTTTAATTCTCCTAATGTAGTTCATTCATTCATTCATTCATTCATTGATCTAATATATATTGAATGTATTTTCTATGTGCTTTTGGAGACATTTTAATAAGAAACATAAGCAATAAAATAAAATAAAAAGTGGCTTATGTAAATATGGCTTCATAATTTGTTAATACTCACATGTGCATAATACCATTGTTCATGTGAAGAAAATGAAGTTCGAAGAGGTTAATGACTCACTCAGCAGCGCATGAAGACCAAGCACAGAACTGGAGTAAAAGTCCTGGTGGAGAAGGGCTCTTGCCTAGACCAGGAGAACATCAGCAGGTTTTTTCACATCTGGAATCTGGTGGGAAAAGCATGTAGAAATTTTGTGATTTTGGTGCTTACATTAAATGTTCATAATTTTTTTCTATGGTATTTGGTACTTAGTTAATATGTCTACAAAAAGGTAATTGCTTTTGTTTGTTTGCTTCTTTGTTGAGTTAAAAGCCAGCTGCCTCACTAAGCTGTCCACACGTGCTTTTTAAAAAGCTCATTCTCTTGTCTCTTGCAGATAGAAAATGATATCATCCTCACACAATAATTATTTTACTTTTCCCTTTTAATTATTTAAGAATTTTTTTGTGTGTTGGCTTGAATTATAAAATGGCTCAAACCTTCAAAATATTAAATAATTGTAGTAATAACAGGCATCTTTGTAAATGGAGTCTTCTAGTGTTTCACCAATTAGCATAATATTGACTTTAACTCTGGGGTAAATACTTTTAAAAATCATTTCAGAGAGAGTCTTTCTCTTCCTGCCTTTCTGTGTGAGTTACTCTAATAAAACCTGCGTGAAAAGTACCAAATGTGAGCTTTGTTATTTAAGATAATCATATATTTCTCTCTTTTCTAATTAAAATAATGATACATGTTGATAGTGGTACATAAAACAATGGTGCATCTTTTAGTCTATGCATTCTAAATTCATTAAAATACATACATATTTAGTTTTGTATATAATGTAATAAAATTGCAACCATCAAAGGAAAATTGAATTTCAGAAAGCAGCTACAAAGTAATGAGAAGTAATCTACCAAGGGGGAAAAAAATCAATTTGAGATTTTATAAAAAAATAATATGCCAGAAGTGCTTTCAAAGTGCTAAAGAGTATAAGTATATTCTTGAGTTCTTAGCCAAAAATTTGTTCTGGGGATTGAATTAAATTGCATCATTTTAAAGTAGAAAAGACTGGGGCGCTTTGCTACACACACCTCCTCACTGAAAATGCCACTACAAATGGATCTACTTCAGAAAGACTGTCATGGACTAAATTGTGTCCCCCCAAAATCCACATGTTGATGCTCTATCCCTCTCTATAGCTATATTTGAAGATAGGTGGAGATAGGGCCTTTAAGGAGGTAATTAAGGTGAAATGAAATCGATAAGGCGGGCTCTCAGCCAATGGAATTGGTGTCCTTATTAGAAGAGGAAGAGACAACAGGAGTCTCAGAGGAAAGGCCATGTGAGGGCATGGTGAGAAGGTGACCATTTGCAATTCAGAATGGCCCCTTGATTTTGGACTTCCAGGCTCCAGAACTGTGAGAAGATAAATTTATGTTGTTTAAGCCACCCAGTCTGTGGTATTTTGTTATGAAAGCCCGGACTAATACAAAGACATAAACAAACAAACAAACAAACAAACAAACAAATAAATAAATGGGAAGGTTTGGGATGGAAGGAACAATGCTGAGCAAATGAAATGTTAAAATAGGCAGAAAATAGAAAAGCATTGGTTGTGTATAAATTGTGATAAAATTGTTATTTTGTAGTTTAAAGCAAGCTGTTGTTAAATTCTACATAAAATCAACTACACCTAAAAATTGCTAAGTTTATTTATATAAATTCCACCTCAACAAAGCTGGTTAATAAAA